GTTGAATCTTGTCTTTGCTATGTATTGCATTGCATTGCATTGCATTGTATTGCATTGTATTGCATTGCATTGCATAATGTTCAATTTTGTTCTGTGCGATGTAGTTTTGTTTTGCGATATGTTGTTTTGTGTTGTATTCTTAAAATTTAGCAATTTTTAAAGGGCCCACAGTAATTGGTGTATACCGTTGTGGTGTCCCTGCCACTTGTTTGTTGTAAGTGGCGAAGTTTAATAAATAAATAAATAAATAAATAAATAATCGTGGCAAATGTTTTAGTCTTCTTCACTTCTGGATCGGCATCTTTGACGACTTGGACGCTAACGATAGGCTGCTCTGGCCAGCTCTCCTTTGATTGGGACAAGAACTCCGGACCTTCCAACCAACGCTTGTTCTGTAACAAATCTTTAACTTGTATCCCCCTTGACGCATCGTTAGCTGGGTTAGACTTCGTGTCCACGTAGTTACACTGTGATGGGGAAGACGCTTCGTGCATGGAAGAGACGCAATTGGCAACAAAGGTATGAAATCTTCTATCTTTACTCGCGATGCAACTTAGGACGCACGTACTGTCAGTCCAAAATACTGACTCGCAGATCGGTATATCAATTTCCTTTCTGATTGACTTGTCCAACTTTGTCGCTAAAACGGCTGCTGATAGCTTCAACCGCGGGATCGCAATGGTTTTTAGTGGCGCCAATCTCGATTTTCCCATAACAAATGAACAGTGGTTGACTCCTTCGGCATTGGTGAAACGTAGGTAGGAAACAGCACCGTAACCACGTTGGGAGGCGTCAGAGAAGTGATGCAATTCAGCTGAGACAACTTTTCCAAAGTCAGGTGGTTGGAAGCAACGTTGGATCCTTAAACGAGGCAGGATGTAAGGGGCAATCATTCCAAGCTGGTCAAAGATGGAAGAAATGACACTCAGGACTTGTCGCCGGGTAAAAGCTGCCCCTGGGAGGCAGCTGGTAAAGACAAACGAGTCCCTCCTCCTTATTCCAAAGGTTCCCAGGGCACGTTTGATAGGTAGTTTACCGTCGAGGTCGAGGCCTTTCAAACACGGAGCAAGTTCACTCTCCGGTATATTGGAGAGATCTTCTCGGGAGTTGGTGCACCACTTGGTTAGTCTGAAGCCACCCTTCGGTAAGGTCTTGGCACATGTCAACCGCGACTTCTTCGTCCTTTTCTGACTTAGAGAGATTGTCCATGTAAAATTTCTTCATGATTGCTTCTGCTGCCAATGGGAATTTGCTAGAATTGTCCTTGGCGGTTCGATGAAGAACATAATTGACTGAAGTGGGTGACGATTTTGCTCCGTAGATTTGTCGACAGTATTGATAAACTTCAGGGGGCGAATTCCGGTCGTCCCTCCACTGAAAACGTAACACGGTCTGATCATCCTTGAGAACAACAACCTGCTAGAACATGGTCTCATTGTCAGCCGAAATAGCAACCCTTTCATCGCGGAAACGCAACAAAATTCCGGTCAGAGAGTTGAGGAGATTGGGTCCAGTTATCAGGTGGTCATTTAAAGATGCGCCTCTGAATTTGGATGCAGATTGAAGACCCTTCGAATCTTGCCGGATTTGTTCGGGTTAGTAACAGGGTGATGTGGGAGGGACCACTGGAGGGGCAGAAGCTTCTTCTTGAGATAGCCTTTTGGCATAGGCATTTCTCAAGTCACTTTCGATAGTATCCCGATACGCAGTCGCCAGCTTCTCATTACGAGCTAATCTCTTTTCCAACGAGAAAAGTTGTTTCTCGGCTACAACGCGATTGTTGGGCAGTGTTACATCTTTCTCCTTCCACAAGAGACCGGTTTCGTAGCGATCTCCAGTGCGTTTGGTGGTCGATTCAAGGATTTCAAGGGCTTTCTTGTCTTCAACAGATTGACAGGTTTCTTCCACATATTTACACCCGAATGACTCGGTCTTCCTCCACAGCTGGATTTTATGAGAGAGGTCTTCTTCAGGAGTTGTGATATGGACTTTCATGGTATACGTAGTGACTGTATTAATGTCACTACTCCCTGGGAGACGAGAAGTCGCAGTCCAACCGAGAGCAGTACGTACCGCTCTAGGAGTTCCTTTGGACCGGTTCTTATTTTCACGTCGAAGACATCAGGCCCAGCAAAACCGTGATATCAACATCCTTTACTGGAGGTAGTGGAAGGTTTGCTAAGTGAGGCCAACGATTCTTCTCCTTCGACATGTCGATGCTTATGTTCGGAAGGTTTCGCCTTTCTACTGTCTTAGCTTGCGTAACAGTAAAGGGGTAGGTGGGATTAGCCACAGAACTACCACCAAAGCCAACAATCCTTGATGCAATGCAACTACGCTGCTGAACCCCATTTAAATCATTTGCTCAGTGGGTCCAGTTATTCCAACTTTATTGGCAACACTAGCTTGAATAAGTGTGCACGTACTATCCATGTCCAACATATCATAAGTTCCGTGAAGACCCGCGCGCCGGCCCATGAATGCCTACTGGGAGAACTTGAAGTAGGACTTGGGATGCTTGCAGAGATGTAAGTCCAGCGTGCTGTTCGGAGCCACGGGTTTGATAAACACGCTTTGCATCATGTATCAAAGGGCGATGCCTTTTCTTGCAGCCACAGGTGTTGCATTCTTTCGGGGTGGGCTGCTTGTTCTTGCAACCATTTGGCAAGGACCGTGAGGGTTGGGCGAGAGACCTTATTGTGAAGCAGATGTTTGTTCCACTTCAGTATCATCGATGTTGGCAATTTTTCAACTGCCGTCTTAACATTGCTCGCTGCCTTCAAGTCATCATCATAGCCGAGATCTTCAAATGTCCAAACAATGGTGTTAATTGCTCGAGAATAGTTCGAAATCGAGTTTGTATCATTCTCTGAAACTGCCGGGTCATTTTGGTCAAATTGTTCAAAAGGGCTTAAACAACAACCTGGGGCTTGCCAAATCGATTTTCAAGACACCGCAGTGCTTCGTGGTAGTGGCTGCCATTATACCGAAAATCGGTAATAGCAGATTTGGCCTTTCCTGTAACACTTTGCTGGAGGTGGGTCATTTTCTCAAATGAGGTCATATTTGAACGATGGATAATAGCATAAAACATCCCTAACCAATCTGTCCACTTCAGGGAGTCACCGTCAAACTTTGTAAACGTTAACTTTGGGACAGACATGTTCTGTCTCCTCCGCAGGCCCTCGTTGCGTCATGGGAAGGTCACGATTTCGAGAGAGCCTACACGTTAACATTTATTATTACGTTTACTGTTTTTCATTTTTCATTTTCGTTGGGCCATTTTAATTTACAAGTTTCACGCCACTTATTTATATCTGTTTATATTCAATATTATGTATATATTAATGTGCTGACGTGACGCCGGCTCTATGTTTTTTTACAAGATTCCACAGGCCCTCGGCAGATTGTGTGTGACCTTCCCATTACGCAACGAGGGCCTGCGGAGGAGGCAAAGAGTTGTTGTGCAGTGGGGACTGGGGCGAATAAGGTCGATTTACGGGTGGATCTAGTTCAAAGGCAGGAGGTAGGTCCGCAATCCAAGAAGTAGTGCGGTTTTGTACCTTATCAGTGATTTCATTGGTGCTCGGTGAAATGTTTTCATGTTTTAACCTTACCTTGTGGGGTTTTCTAAACAACATTTGCTGTATGCTGTGGCTTATTATCAAAATCTCTAAGACGTTCTTTCAAATTTTTAGGGTGGGTCGTATTAGATTCCGCTTCGATCAGCTCTGCTTCAAGTTCGGCTGGTGGAGTTAAGTCCTTGCATTTCTCTATTTTACGCCTTTTCGCTTCTCCCCCTGTCGCTTGTTCTTGCTCGTGTTTAACTCTCTATATTTCCCCCTGACGCAGTTCCCCTATACGTTCAAGTTGTTTACGTCTGTCGGCCTCTTCTTCGATTTGTTTGGTCTTTAATTTTGCAATATAATAATAATAATAATAATAATAATAAATACTTTATTTAAACTGTTAAAAAATCCCATCAGCAATGCTGCTGGTGTTAACGGGCGAACAGTGATTACAATTATCAACGATTGCATGTATACAATATAAACATGCATCCTAAATACTACAAATATGAGAATTGTTGTCAAGTTCTAAAAGATGCGCGTAAACAGTACGTTTAAATTTTGAGAGTGATAAAATGAGCCTTTCTTCGTGATGCTGATGTTGGGCTGATTTATTCCAAGCTGACAACAACACCGAATGAGGTCTTGGGGCTATCGATCCCAAGATAGAGGGGGGTTCGTCCTCACGCTCCTCTAGATGTGTCAATGCCTTTGCAATTGCATCATCAACCTTTTCAGCTACTTCGATGAACTGTTCGAAGTGTCCGCACCTTTGACTTGGCTTTCGATTTTCCGCACGATTTCACGTATTTGGGTTCGTCCCCCCCCCCGGTCGTGAATAAGCTTTGTTAATCTTGTAATCAGTCGTGTTACACTGGACTTTTCTTGAGATCTTTTGACTTTTACGCTCTGAATTTGTAATCGTACATTAGCAGAGAGTTCTTTCTCTTCCTGCGCTGCATTACTTCCCTCCAACTGTGTTTCTTTGTTGCCGTTTACGGTCTGATCAGATTCATGATCACCTTTCTCGTTCGAAATATTTCTCGATATTTCTCACTTCTTTCGGGCTGTATTTGATCGCAGATTCATATCCGGCTCGCTTTTTTACGGGCAAGGAAATACCGCCTGCCGCAAAACTAGGTCAGATTTGAATTAACCCGTTAACTGGTAAACGGAATAAACGGATTGGTTAGTATTTTTATAGGTAGTTGTCAATCAACGGTTAAATGTTTTAACATAAGCGAAAATGCTATCAATTTAGACTAAAATGTCGTATAAATTTACGGTAGATTTATACTTCTTTCTGTGACTATATTTTCAAGACGATCTTTCTCCAAATTCCATGACACGTTGTGTTTACAATGCGGCAAAGACATGGAAGATGTAGATAAGCGACGGCGATTCTTTCCTGGACATAAAAAGACGAATGTTTTCGTAATATATCGTTGAATGTTTTCGCAAACATTCGTCTAATAATTGGAAGAGTTCATTGTAGTGAAACTACACTGTTATTAAACATTCTAACAAATGTTGTTTGCTGTTCTTGTGGGAACAAAAATGCCGCTTTAGTTTAGAAAATTAACTCAGTTAAACAACATTTCGCCTCTGCTGCCAATATTTTATTGTGTCTTCGAGAATTACTAACCATATTTTCTACTTTGAAATGACTTTGTTTTATTTCTATTTGTATTAAATAAGTCTAAAGCCTAATTGGAAACATGCTGGAAAACCCTATGACCCTAGTCAAATTCGCACTCAGCGAATTTATACAAAAATATCTATTGTTTTGCTTGTGGGACGTGAAATAAAGTGAAATTACACACTGCGCATGATCAACTACAACTTATTGCAGCTTCTGAAAGACAGTATTTCTCACCTCGCTCTCACTTTCTTCTCCGCTATAAGGGAGTTCTGTTACTGCATCTAAATCTAGTTGACAATCACTGCATGTCTGAAACCTTGTCACTAGTAAACACATTCTGCGTAATATACAGATCCTCGTCACTTTCACCCTCCATAGCCGGCGATCAACAAACAACGTGAATACTTGACCTTCTATAGTTCTAGACCATGTTAATTTAAATTAAAATGCACTTAAACCCGTCGACTGCATGCATAACATATTTCTTCTACTTGCAACACAATACACTTCACCCACACCAGTCATTTCAACTAATTTACATCCTCTCTCTTATGCAAATCGCACAACTTCAATCCTTATGTGAAAACTGCCTAACATCTTATTGTCAGCATTCAAAAATAGCAGTCCTATAAAGAACCCTATAATCAAACAATGTTTCTCACTTCGCCTAGTGATGATATAAGCCGGTTATATAACTTAGACCTCAGTGTTTATGCGATATCAACCTCGGTTGATATTACGCATAAACACTTCGGTCACGTTTATATAACCTTTACTTATCTTTAAATAAACAAATGACGAATAAAACACTTATTGAAATTGATTTTCCTGTTATTAATATTAAAATTGTTAAGGCATCTGACTCTCTTATCCGCCTCAACTTTTAACATTGGCAGATAGTTATACAAACTTCATATCAACCTCAATATTCAATAATTGTTTGATTAACATTTATTTTTAATATTGTAACATAAAGTAATCACTTCATCAATTACAACTCCTTCTCGACAGTTGTCACCCGTCCCATATATATCAAGACCTCTCATAATTTATGCCTAGAAATTTCAGTTATTTCAATTTAGTTACACTCTGCAACATAGCATCAAGTATGGATCCGTCGACTGGTCCGATGTCATGTGGATACCACGGGGAAAAGATGGCATCATATATAACCAGCTGCGTTATGCCAGGTATTCTTTTTTGGATTTGCTGGAAATTGACTACACTGCAAGGAGTACGTGTTCAGAGTGTGAACCAGAGCTGGAGATTGTCGTTTGCGATGCTACGACTGTTGCCTTTACAAAAACAATGGTTTTAAGGTGTGACCCTCAGACACCTGTTGAAAGTGCAAATGTGATGACTGGAAGATAAGTATTTTTAGTTGTGCCATTTCGTTTGCATATGTGGGCGTTTTTAACTCTAACGGCAGTATCGGTAAAGTCAAATGATAATGGTTAAAAGTTAAACTGACATTGAATGAAGAATATAATGTTTAATATAGCTTGTATCGGAGTCACACTTGTATCTTTGACATATCGCTGAGTATGATGAGAAGAATATAGTGTTTGTTGACCTCGAAATTTTTACTTGGCCGATGCAACACGTCGAAAAGAAGAGATCGGTACAAAAAACATCCTAGTCATTCCTTTTCCTTTCATGGTATATTCACGCTGTTTTGTCCACATGGTAATTTGTCGTTTGGTATTTCTATACGAGGCGAAGCCGAGTATATC